AAAATACTCGAATTTCTATTGATTTTGGCATTTGGGAAAAAGAGAGGGGGAGCGGTGAAAGCCTTTGTGCTGCGAATGGGCAGCGAATGTGTGTGGCCCAGTGCAAATTGAAATTTCGGCTTAATTTCTTTTGGGCTGGAAAGCGGCTAAAATGCGACTCCATCGCCATTGTTCCCGCCCATTTGGGGTCAAGTGTGTGTGGCAAGTTCGCTGCTTAAGTCTTTCGTTTTTATTTTTGTATTTTCTGCTCGCTCGTTTTCTGTTTTCTGTTCTGCTGTCAGCGGCTCATGTCAGCGAATTTGTTAAACAAACTGAAATGAAATTTCGTTTTGGGCCTCGTTTAATTAGTGAAAATATGGCTGTAGCACAATTAAGGCGATGTTTTGCATTCGTCGGCGGATTAAATCAGTCCCATCCTGGGCTCTGACAGGCAGAAGGAGATGATCTCGTTGTTAAACTGCAAACTCATAATGCGAATGGCTCGTCGGCCTGCGTCACTTAGTGCTTATTGTGTCTGCACGTCTGGGACGTGTTGGCCCGCTCCAGCTCCTCAAAGGCCAGTCGGATTTCCACTGTAAATTAAACCATCCGAAAAACGCATAAAAGGCACTCAGCGGCACTGGTGAAAAAATATTCAAAAAACTAATTGATTAAATCTGTCATGTAAAACTTTTTTGAATATGCTAAAATTTTTTTACAATCTTGTAAGGTTTATCAAAAAGAAGTAGGTAGCAAGAAGGGACATAATTTAATTAAACACAAATAACAAAAATGTATTAAAAAACTGTATGAAATATCTGCATATTTTAAAGAAATATATTCTATAAATGAAGTTAAGCTTTTAATAATGTTTCAGGCTTTAATACAATTTTATTTTAATATTCACCATTAATTATTTAGTAGCTTTCTAATTACTCTAAGCAAACTACACGAATCCGTTTTATATAAATGCTTTGGGTATTTTCCTATATCAAATTACCCTAGCACCGCTTAAATAGTTATAAGAACTTTATATTTCCTGTATCATTTTCCCAGTGCAAGTCACGTATTCGGCCGTAAACAAATTTCGAGTAAATCCGTAGCTGCAACGTGAAAGAAGCCGAGCTGAGTTTTTGTTTCTGTCATGTCATGGCCCGAATGGCTGACTCCCCCGAAAAAGTGACACACTCGGCCGGTCTGGATTTTTGATTATTTTCGATGTTTTCTCATCTGGCATCGCCATCTCTGCCCCCCCTTTTTTTCTGTTTTTTGTTTTTCTGTTTATTTGGTATTTTACCCCCCTTTGGGTTGAAGTGTCGTGCGACAAGTGCCGCAATTGAGTCGCTCGCCTCTCGGTACTTGTCAACATCGCCCCCCTTTTTCCCCCCCCCCTTTTTCGGGGGAGGTGCTGGTGGACATGCCTGTCACCAAGTTGGAGCATTGTCTGAACGTCGAACAGGTGAAGTTGGCTTTGTGTGCGGCTCCGTTGTCTTTCTGCTGTTTTTTTTTTTCTCGATTTTGTTGTTTTGGCAGTGAAATCGAGCAAAGCAAGATTTTCGTGGGTCTTGGCTGGGATCTTGATCTCCTCCTGGTCGGCTGGCGTTGATTTATGGCCAACAATTTAAGCAATTTCATTTTATTTTATATTTCTGGTTGCCTTTACGGCCACGGCTTAAATGTAATGTCAACTGTTTTGCATGTCATTTGAATCGAGGGGTGGGGAATGGCTGTACCTGTCACTTGGCCACCGAGCTTCGAGTTGTATAGGAAATGATTGGCCAACAAAAAGAGTTATTTGCCATGGCGCAGAGAAAGTGAAATGAGATTTGATGGAAATCTATCGGAGTGCCAGTGATAGGGAAATGAAAAGATCTTTCCCTTACTCTTTGGTATCTTTAGATTAAGTGCTATTAAGCTAAGATACCTTTAAAATATTATCTTAAAATATCATCAACTGCATATTAAAATATCATCACAATTTCGAATTTGAAATCAAAGTGCAGCTCCCAGCGAATTAAAAGAACAATAAAACGTCGCTTTTGTAAATTTTTCGCTTGATTTGTGCTCTCGAAACAAATTATGAAAAAATATAAAAGCCCCAAAAAATATCACGAACTGAAAATGCGTGGGAATAAATTTTGCGTGCCGCTTAAAATTCGAATTTATAGCAAAGAAAAAACCAAAAAGAGAATCGTTCAAAAAATACAAAAGGGGAAGCGAGAGAAGAAAAACTGAAAAACTAATCGCGCGAATATAAATATGACAATAAAAAGTGTTTAGTGGCCGAGGCGAACCGTTTCGTCCAATTGGGCAACTGTAATAAATTATCGAAAAACACGAAATGCCCGCTCCAAAGACCCAGTTGCAATCTATTTAAAACAAAACAAAAAAAAGCGAAAATAACCAGAAATTTGCGAAAAATTTGAGGCCACAGATTAGCATCGACGAAAAAAAAAATACGAAAATCTGGGAAGGGGAAAAAACAGGTTCACACGCTAACCGAAAGCAGGACCACCTCATCTGCAGGAAGTGTAACTGAAATTGCAGGGGTTACTGCTCCTTGGACTCCGCCCTTTCTACCTGTCCTGTGGCAGCAACAAGTGAATGACAGGATAATCGTCCTGGGTACCTGTTCTGCTCCTTTGTTTCCCCGTTCCCTTATTTTATTTTCTGTGTTTTTTTTTTTTTGCATCCTTGTGATGCTGCCTCCTTTTTGGCATGTGAACAAACTCGCATGAAATCTCTTAATGTTTGCATTCTTATGCGGCTGTCGTCTCGTTTGATGCGTGATCTTGTTGATTATGCTGATGTCTGGAATTGAGATCGAGAATTTCGGTTCCCTGTTTCTCAGGGCCTCTGGCAGGTTCACTGCCTCATTCGGGTTCATCTCTTTCTTTTTTTTTTTTTGTTCCTGGGGTTCCATTTGCCGAGTGTGAAATTTTTGCTTGTTTGGCATTCATGGAAATTGCCTATGCCTCGGAATTTTGTGGGAACAAGTGCAGCGGCACCAGAAGCATCGACCACATTACGTGCTCTTTTTATTTTAGGGGAAGGGGAAAGGAGGAACCCCCGCGGGCGAGAGCGTGTGAATTTCAAGTTTTTGGGAACGATTTGTTGGGTTTTTGCAAAAAAAACTCAGAACTAAGTTAGCGTGCAATACAAGGAACACAATGACAAAAATAACAAAGAACGATATCTTAGATATTTTTCCAGTGAAATTGAAGAATATTTTATTTAACAGTTAATATTAAAAATATTAAAAATTAGGAAACAAAGCAAATAATATTTTTTAAACTGAAATTATGGAAACTATTTTGTAATTAAATTTATAACCTCATTGTTAAATTCTGGTTAAGTGAAAGTATTTTAGGTTTATCATGAATATATTTGCTGATTTACTTTTAAAGTTTTCTTTTTCTAAAAATATTTCTACTACTGAAATAACCTGTAAAACTTATACGGACTAATTCTGTTCCCTCTGACAACTTTCCGATATACTTTAAAATGTTCAATGGACTTTTGACTGCACATCAATCAACAAAAATCGAACAGCTTTCCCCCACCGATACATATTGAGTTCATTCTGAAAACCCCAGACCGTGTTGGGCACCTTAAATGGAACTGCCCGCGTCCCATTTAATTAAAATTCCAGCAACCTGCTCCTCGCTTTTGTAGTGGATCCGACCCATCCTGATCCCCCCGATCCCGATCACGATTCCATTGCCGCTGCCGATGTGTGTTTATGTGCCCTAAAGTGCTGTCACCTTAGTGCGGCACGCATCGTGATTTATGCTCTCGCAGCGAGAAAATTAAATAATAAAACTGAAAATCTGTAACAAAATGCTGAAGACCGCTGCTCTTATGGCCGCTGCACATGCGCAATAAATTCGGTTTTTATGACACCTGACAAAATACGCAGCAGCCAAAGCAGCAGCAACTGCGTTTACGAGATGCAGTTTTAAACGGAGATGGAAGCGGCTGTTTCAGTCGAAAAAATTGTTTAATGACTAATGGCATAGCTATATGCACAGTGGAAAATTAAGTGGCTAGTTGAAAAATATTCGATAAAAAATGTTAAGTTAAAAAAAGGCAAAATATCAACTAGAATTATTCTAGAATTTATTTAGATTTTAATCTGAATTTTCTAACTTTATTACTAAAGTTATGCTTGTGCAGATATATTATCATTTTTTCTGCTGGCTCAAACTTTTTAAGCTCCTAACTTTTTGTGACCTTTATGTTTTTTAATAATAATAAGAAATGTTTAAAAAATGTTTTCCGAATTTATAAACAGTGTAAGTGAGAGGCTGCCGGGGATGTTCGGTTTCGTTTATTGCCCTGTGTCTATTGAAGATTAATTTCATTTACACAACTTCATCGCCTTGCCGCCGCGGCTTCAGCTTCAACTTCGGCGTGGCTTAACACTTTGTTGCCCGCCTGGTTGCGTTTTGGAGTTAATAAAGTCATAAATTGTCTTACCGGGGGCTGGTCGCTTCCCTCTTCCCGGATTTCTCAGCTCAGTTCCAGCTCTAATACGCAACAGTTGGGGAGCCGCATTCTGCAGCGGCGCAAATCGTTACGTGTCCATGTGTTTTTATGGCTTCTTTTGTGAGTGCCCACTGTTGCCAGTTGAATGGTGGTCCGCTCCGCTTCGCGGCATATGTTGCGGATTAGAAACGGAGCCGTGCCACCCGAAAAAAAGTGTTCGGAGTCTCAGGCACTCGAATTCCACAATTCATCACCTTTATGATCGATTTTTACTGAGGACTAACACCTCAATGCCGAAAGGGTAGAGGATTATAAAGAGGATTATACTTTGTGATAATTAAAATTGAGAGTTTACAATTTTGAAAAAAAATAAAAAGAAAAGTAGCCTTCAGATTGTATTGTTCAAAATGAATGAATGGAACCTAAAGCCAAAATTGGTAGTCTAACTAAATTTTATTTTAAAAAGTCCCTGTTAACATTACTGATATTTATCTCCTTTTCAATTTGCTTTATTTTCCTTGAAGGAGAATTCTTTTACCTCGTTTATGGGAAAATTTTAAACTAAGGGCGAGTTGTATTTACGAATAAAACTATTTAACCAATCGAACCAAATCGTCTACAAGGATTGGCATTCAAAAATACATAAACGTTCACGTGGTCCTTAAACGTGAGTAACTAAATTCAATCAGTTAGTAGAACGAAAAAGACCTTCGAAAAGTGGGTTTATTTAAATTACTAGATAGATAACGTGGAGTGCTCAATTATATGTAAATAAGCACGAAGCAAGATGTCATTGTGGGGTTCCATCAGGTTCCTTATCGGCGGACAAACAGGGACAGCTTAGCCCTGCTCCAATCAATTCCGATTCCGATTCACCGGAGTTCCCGTGCTGAACAAAAACACCGGTCCCGAAAGCCATTCGGCAAACAACAATTTGTTGGACTTTTATTTTTTACGGTCTCGTATTGGCACAGCTGCTACTTCAGCGAAGAAGAGTCGGAGTCGTCTTTAAAAATATAACGATGACAGACATATATCCACATCGCCGGACGGATCGGAGCGGAACAGAAAGCAGCGTTATGCAAAAAAGGTGCAACACATTTTCCTGCCCCACACAAAAGCAACTCTTTGTGTGTTCCTGCTATACAAACACGATAGTGGTGCACCTATAAAAAGTGAACCTAACGGATCGTCAGTGGTGGTGGTGGTGGTATGGTGGTATGGTATGGTGGTGCTGCCAGTGGTGTTGCATGTGCTGGAATTCGCCTTCCTGTCCTTACTGGGTTGCAAGGTTTACGGCAATGCGGCCCTCTGTTCAAATACACCTTGCATACATCGTAAAAAGTTGACTCTTCCGTCTGGAAAAGCGATATGTACACTGAAAGAATTTTGTGCATCATAAAAAATTTTTAGAAAATTTTTCTGACATCGGTAATTTAAAACGCATGTAATTTTAAATTTTATATGGGTACAAATATCTTTAACAAAATTTGTTCAGAAGAAATAAAAATGACTTAATATATTTTTTTATTTTATTTTTTTAAAAAGCCATTTTTTAAGTGTTCTAAAGTGGCAACTTTGGGGTGTGTTGCTCTCCTTCTTCGATACCTGGTAAAAAAAAAAAGGGGGAGAACTTTTCCTCGTCTCGTCTACCTGTCAAGTTTACGCCTGACAGCGTTTGATATTTTCCTCTAGTCCTCGCCAGCTGCTCCTGCGAGTCCTTGAAAAAAGGGATATACGCCCGAGTTGATGTTGCAACATGTAGCAAGTACTTTAGACAGGGTGCACCACATAGGGGGTGGCTAGCTTTGCACCGAAGACAGGTGGTGATCCTAAGGATGGGCCCACTCTGAATTTGTTTAAACATTAGGCACTTATCAGCGGTTATCTGTGAATAGAAAGAGGTACAGTTTTATGGGTGCATTGATCCTGTGAAGAATGTTCTATATCCCATTTTTTGGTATTCAAACTAAACTTAAAATTAGATAGGGATCTTTTGTTTTTGCAGCTGTTCCGATGACTATAAATAGTAACACATTTAAATAAATTAAATACTGAAATGTAAAACTATAAATAAATGCTATCTTATAACATTTATGTTGAAAAGACCCATAAGATCTTGTAAAAGAAAATTAAAAAATTAAACTCAGTGTATTAATCATTTTAGGAAGTTCCCAATTCGGAAACGTAAAACTCGAGCATATATTTCCGATACGCTGATCAAAGGTTGGCACCATACCATTTGTATGCCAGGTTCTATTTTTAGGCATTCCGAACCTCAATGCATTTATAATCGCAGTAACCCCTTCGTAATGCCCACGATTACATGGAAATTAATGCTCCCCGCCGCATAAGGTTCATAGCACGATCCTCGGTCATGTCGCCGAAAAGAATACGTGAGCGAGCAGACCTAACGAACGGCTTCAATTGAAGTTCAATGAAATGTGTCGTCCGCGTGCGCTTTGATTTTATTGCCAGCACTTAACATAATGAGCCGCACCGATAAAATCACGTTTCCTATCGCGCGGCGCATGCGCAATGCTCGATGCTCAATGCTCGATACTCGATTCCCGAGCGCGCATATGTTTCCTGTCCCGCCGGATATTCCTTTGAGTGCCCCGCTCTCCATTGTCATCCGTCTGCAGCAGTGCAGCAGAAAAGTTCAAAGTGCACGGAGCGAGGGATCCATTGAATGCCAAGTGCAGTCGAACAAAAGGATACGCGGCACACACATTTCCACCATACACCACCTGTTTCCTTGGGCTTTTGTCGTGCATTCAATTGGGGATTTACGCGGAAAGGAAGTTCATTGAACTGGGATGTGGCTGCAATTGAAATCGTTACAAGGGATCTAAAAAAAATGTGGATCAAGGAGTTGGTTGCAAACCTAGTAAATTGGTTAATGATATACAATAGAAAGTATTTCCAATTTTTATAAAAAAAAAAAAAATAATTATAAATGTTTTTAAATAAACTTAGAAACTTGGTATATTTTGCTTTGATTTAATTGTTTTTTATTTATTTAATATTAATTTAGAATATCTTTCTAAGCCTTGTATTTTAAGTATGCCTCAAATAACATATTCGATCGGTGATAGCGCCTGTCCTCCTCCATGAACTGCAGCACATCCCTGATGTTCAGATGCTTGATTCTCAAGGCAAACGGACGCTGGACTTGGGGGTTTGGTGGAGCTGTAGTGGAAATGCTAGGAGCAGCTCCAGCTGGAGTAGCGGCATCCTCCGCCGGGCGCTTCCGACTTCCGAGGGCCATCATTGCGGTGCTATTCAGCGTCTCCAAACGAATACACTTCTTCCCCTTTTCATCGTTCTCCGCTCGGCGCTTGCGATTAAATCCGGAATCCTCATCCGATGACCCATAGTCGGCCATCTCCAGGTTGTTGAGGAACACCATCGTGGCCCGCATATCGTTCTTCATCACGCAGCGATCATCGTTATAGAGATGATATCCCGACCGATGTTCGCACAACTCTATAGCCTTCTTCACCACGAATTTCATGTAGGTTTCCAGGGCGGAGAGAAAGGCATCCAAAAGGGGTTCAAAGTCCACCAAGCGGATTTCATTAGCCTGGTTGATCTGATTCATTTGCTTCACTATCTTCTTGAGGATGCTACTGCGCTCGAAGAACGATGGCCGTGTCTTCTTTTTAACCAAGTTGTTGGACTTGCCCGAATCCTGCGTAGCTGCGTCCGGCAAAATGAGATCCTTGATGATGAGCAGCTGGCCACAATACGGCTGCATGGGTACTTCAATTGGAATAGCAGACATCGTATCGGATATATTTAACAAATTCGGAAAGGTTAGATTTCGCCGAAGATAATTCTTGACTGAAAATTAGGGTTCACACTGACTCCTGTCAAAATTAGCCACAAACCCTAGACAAGTGCGAACCCTATGAATTTAAATCAATGTGTTTTACAACACACAAAAAAAATTTGAACAAACACTTTTTTTAAGGAAGTTTCGTCTACATTTTCTTTTCTTCACTTATTGCATTTAAGAATCGTTTAACATATTTTTAAGGGACTTATGAATTTTCCTACTTAAGATTTTTGTGACCCATCAGCTGCACTTTGAAATTCCTGTACAGCCCTTATCCTGTGCCACCCAGCCAGGTGCTAGTGGTGCTGCCACGAGCCAGCAGCAACACCTCCGAGGAAACATATGCCGGAATTCAGCGCTCGAGTGCACCCACCCCTTGCGGACACCACTGACCGCAACATTTTCCTACACTTAACGAAAACATGTAACATGTTTACTTTACTTCTTTTTCTATAAAATATTGAGATATGCGTATCCCAAATTGTTTTTATTTTTTGAGGGAAACTACTTATTTATATATTTTATTTGCATTTCATTTCAGTGTTCAAAACTTTTACAACTTGACAAAACAGTGCTCAAAACCCTTTAATCGTTTTCAGGGTAGCCAACCTCTTATTAGTGTTGAAAGCTTCAACAGGCGTTGGAAAATGCATCCAATTGCCCAAATGTATGTTTTGACCATCTAATTGATGATTTAAATTCTTATAAAAATACTTGAATGACCAAACAATTTTATTGAAAATATTTTTTCCAAGTGCCTGACATGGCCCACTAAGTCTGCCCGGGTTAAGCACTTGTTCCTGTCCAATGCCCAGCAACAGGAGGAGCAGAAGGAGGAAAAAGAGGATGAGGATGAAAATGAATAAAGCACGAGCAGGCGCAGGACACGTTATGCAAAGTGCACAGGAATGCAAGTGGTGGGCCTTTTTCAGGGCGACTGGCGACTGGCGACGGGCACGAGCGCCTTGCCTAATTATTCAAATGGAGGCGGTGAAATGGATGAAATGCCCTCCGTTCTCCGTCCTAGACATTAAGTAAAGCCCGTCGCCAGTCGGGGTGAGCGGATATTAGTGAAAAACAGCGGCGCGCGACTGTCGCCCGCTTACCAACTTTGCGTCTCCTGTCGCCGAGTCCCGCACATTTCCGTGCACCACTGAACTTCTGGCCCAAACGATCATCATCAAATGGCCAACAACAACCAAATATAAGGGTGTGCTGGGTCGCATATTTAATTGCCGCGTTACCTGACATTTTCCAGGAGCAAGGCGCGTGTTGTTTTGACGTCTCTCCGGCCGGCTAGAAATTTATTAGAAATGCAAGTCGAGTGTCTTTGTCGGCTAACTCGACTCCCGAACAGGTTCATTACGCGTGCCGGCGACACTCGACGCGGCGTTGACCTAATTACCTGTTTATTTTATTTTTTTTTTTAGCTTGTAAATTTTCTGCCCACCCTACTTATAGGGGTAACAAAACATTTGTGCTGCTGCGGGTGGCTTAACTTTAAGGCAAGGTGCAATTTGTTGCAAGGTAAATAGAATTTGCCTAAAGGGAAAACTGTACTAGGAGTTGAGTAATTAAGGTAACTTATATCTATAGTTAAATATTTTTCACACTTTTTTTGGAAACATTTTACAATTAATTTTCTAACATGTTTAAATTTATATCAAACTCTATCTGCCGTTTTTTCTGTAGTACTTGATGCCACCCAACAACAGTTGAAAATGCAGATTCCATGCGCCTTGCATAATCCACACATGGCGGTGGAAGTCGTCTGACTGGCAGTTCCGAGGAGCAGACCGTATAAACTAAGCTAACAATTCAACTAAAATGCCAACCAGATAATAAAACTCAAATCGATTGAAGAAGTGGAAGCATTGGCCTTTCCGAAAGATGGAAAATGGAAATAAAAAATGCGAACACGAAGCTGGAAGTCGAGAGTGAAGAGTCGGGAGAAAGACTTGAAGTCGGGCAGGGCATTCAAACGACCACCCACACATCTCGGAATCGGAATCGGAGTTGGAGTTGGAGTTGCAGTTTTGCCATTTGGAGGTGGAGTTTCGAGCTGAGATGCAGAGCATCCTCGCCGCCTGCGCAGTGTCAAATAGACAACAAAAATAACCGCACAGAGAAAGAAATTCGAAAAACGTTTTAAAAATACGTATTTTGAAATTATTGTGTACAAAACTGAAGGATTAGGAAATAAAATAAAATCGAAATTGAACGAATAAACTTATAAGTTAGTAATCCTGAATTCTTATATTATATATTTATATTTTTTTAAGCCTAAATAATTCGGGATTGTATTTACATAAGAAAGTAAATGAAGGTAACGTACTAATTAAATTTGTACATCAAATTAGTTGTATAACTTTAGGTTGGTTCTCCAAACTTATATCTGAAAAATATTTATGAATATCTCTAATAAGGTACTTCTTTTTTTCTCAGTGCACTAGAGTGTTGCGTGGAGCGCAGGCGTAGCCTCCACAGGACGGACAGATGCAGTTGAGCCGACTCGAGATGGAGGCATATTCCAGCGAATAAATATTATCATATGGAAATTTCGCTGCGGAGCAATTACGAATGCAGCCAAACGCTGTGGCAAGTGACCTGGGAGACGTCAATCCGGGCACAGGAAATCGAAGTCGCAACTCGACGGGTTTGACGATGATGTAGCACCGCCAGCTTTTATGCACTGCACACGGCACACGGAGCACCTTCCCCGGCAAACCGAAGCCCACCTCACCTTAAAAATATCCTCCACAGACATTTAGACCATGTTCATAGAGATCGCAGCGTGTCGCAGTCGTAGAAAGTTTGAATGGAGCATGCTAAGTTGGGAACAGTGACTAAAGACTAACATGAACTGTTGGAACACTAAAAACCTAAATTAATAATTATAAAATGTAAAAAAAAGGTAAAAATAAATTTTAGCAAAATGATAATTAAACTGAAAATATAGTTAGAAAATTAATATAATAGTTGATGAATTGAATTCCTAATGAACGTATGATATGGTTTACTATTTATAACTACTCTCAATTCTTTTATTAAAAGCTTTTAAGCTATACATTTTCTTAAGCAGTTCTTATTATAATAATTTCGAAAATAGCTCCCATTTGAAAGAATTTTACTTCTTGTTAGTTTCTTATATGGAGTCTCCACTGTTTGTGGGCCCACCAACAACCACATCCACATCAGGCGGCTTTGCGTACCTGCTGGAGCTGCGTTTTTGGGGGCGCAGCAAATGAAATTGCCAATTGTTGCGCTTTCGGTGGCTGTGGCAGTGGTGGCTACTGTTCGGGCCTCGTTGCTGCTTGCCACACACCTTGCAGCTGGAACGGAAGCGAGGCATCTTTGGTTGATCTCCTGCGGGTCGCCGTTGTTATTGCTCCGTCTTGCCACTTTCAGCGCTTTCTGCTGCCGCTGCCTTTTTAAGCCATTTTAATATGAGCGTTGCACATCTTGTGGGTGTGGCTGATTGGGCAAGCCAAAAAGCTAAGCTAACTCAGCCAAGAAGTAACGAAAAAAAAAAACGAAATAAAAAAGCAAAAATGGATGAGCTCGGGCCCAGCCCGATGATCAATCTTGGGCATGGAAACGCTTTACGATGATGATGATGATGACGACGACGTGGACTTTGTGGCCGCTGATGGTTTTGATTGCAACCACAGCCCAGCAGCAATTTCGCAGCTTGCTACTGGTTTTTCCGCCACTTAAGTGGGCGTGGGCATTTGAAAATGTTAGCCCCATCTGTCAGTGGAGGAAGCGATCTATTTGGCTTATGAAAATGGCAGACAGGCCGGGGAAATGTTTCAATTATCAGCCATTTAGGTAGTAATTAATGCCAAAGTAATAGCAGAGCTGAGTGGGATGAACACCTGCAGTGGGATTTTTTTTTATCTCCGGAAGTAAGTTGACACGCCTGCAAAAGGACACCTTCAACAGGATTGTTATTCTCTCACTTCTAATTTATTTTTACAGCACAACGTTTCCGTTCCCAGAACACCCCATTGAGTTTGCCATTGTCCTGGGAAACAGGTCACAGGAATTACTTTGTTGTCAGGTTCCTTTTTTATTTCCCAAAAAGCAACAAGTGTGGATTGATTTTCTATTGCGATAAAAATCACAAACTTACCAAAAAGTCTGTAAACAGCATTCTAGAGAAATCTTAAGCGATATAGTTACAATTACAAAGTATTTAAAGATACTTTTGATTGAATGCACCTGAATTATATTTTGCAGAACCTTTGTAAAATATTAACAACTAAATAAAAAATTTTAGTATATTTTTTCGTTTATAAAATTATTAAATATTTATTACAAGTAGCTGGCTTACATAAGTAACAACAAATACAAAATCTTGGAGTCTTGCTACTGCATAAGAAGGCCAGCTAAACCTTATAAATTATGCAAAATCATCCGCATTTACTAGATAAATAAATGTCTCCTCAATGCAAAGTGCAATAGAGGGCGAACAAAGTGATTTTGGCCAGGTAAAAAAGCAGCAATCCTCAGCAGCAAATGCAAATTGCTGGTGGGAAGAAAAATCACTGAGTGGAGTGAGTGGAGGACGGAGTAAATTGGAGCGCTACTAGAGGATTCTCCCACAGCCCACTGGACTACTTTTCCTACTCGATGACAATAATGTTGTCTGCGCTTCGTTATGGCCAGAAGGCAGCGCTCGGAGCCTCACCTGATCTCACCTGGCTAGCAGTGCCATTGCCATTGTCACCAGAGCCATGGCCATAACCGTTTTCTTGGCCAACAGGGAGTGGAGGGCCTGGTTTGGCCAACGGACATCCCGCTGAGCCGAGCATTGTCTGCACGCTGGGCAGATTTCCCAGAATTGACACCTTGCCTTTTGCTACAGTTTCTACAGTGAACTCTCCGCGCCAAGATGTCTGGCCCGTTCTGGTTAAGGTAAGAAAAAAAAAAAAAAAATAATAATACAAGAAGGAGAAACACAATCCTGCAGCACATTCATCATCCGGACAATTGTCTCTGCCTTCCAGGTGTTGCTCAGGAATTTCAATTTGCATAAATTTG